TTTGTTATACTAAAATTAGTTGAGCTATAAAACTGCATACTTAGAATTTTTCTAAAAAATCTGAATAGAAAGTTGCAAATAAGTATGCAAATTTATTGAATTTTCCTAATTTTTGCACAAAATTTAGAGATTTCGTTTTTGTTTTTTGGTGTAGGACGTACTATATAATTATAAAAAATTATCGAAAATAAATTAGAATGAAAAACTTTTCAGATATTGCGAAAAATTCTCTGGCCAATACTTTTGTCCGGCACTGTATAATTTTCGATAGATCGCACGTTTAATAATATGGAGATGTAATTCAAAAGTTACGTTTTTGGAGATTTCATCATAAAATTAATAAATTTGATAAGGACAATATGTCTAGCATAACAGACGAACCCGAAGATCCTCGAAGTAACCTTCGACAGTCTGCTCTCCTTCTCGGCGCATACAACCGCAATTGTCAACAAAGTACAAAGCCGCAACAAGGTCCACAAGTCGCTAGCCGGCAGCACCTGGGGAAAAGACAAAGAAACGGCAATTGGCCGGCCGGTTCTGAGCTATGCAGTACCCATGTGGTCAGCGGGGACTAGTAGGACGCAGTGGATGAAGCTTCAGACTGCCAAAACACGGCACTCAGGACAGCGACAGAATGCCTTCTAATGTCGCCGCAACATCACCTGCACGACGAGCCCCATATACTCCCCGTTAAGTAGCATAACACAATGCTCCGCAAGCAGTTTCTAGTTGGGAACTACAGACATGGTCACCCAAACAGACAACTGCTTGCAGAAGAGCCCTCGCCCAGTCACGTCAGAAAGCATCTCTACGAACTGACGGACGAAATCCAGAGGTTCATCAAACAACCTCTGGACCCGACAGCTCATCGACAGACTTTGAACGGCATTCACAGAGAGGCAGTCTCGAGTTATGTAGACTCGACCTGTGAATGCCGTTCTGGACATACAACCACCAGATTTGGACGAGATAGAACTTCGTCAGCCTCGGGAGACTCGGGCCACCATAGCCCAACTGCGCTCTGGTTACTGCAGCAGGTTGAACTCATACCTGAGCCGCTACAACAACTAAACTTCCAAAAAATGGCGAAGTTATGTCTTTCCATCTGTCTTTTGGTATACCAAATGTATGAATTGATCACACTTTGATTGGGTTTTCTCACAAAATTTAAATTTTTATATATTATTAAACGTGCGATATGTGCATAGATGCATATATACATACATATGTAGTTAATGTGTGCATACATATGTATGTACATACTTATATAGGCAATGTGTGTTCCGATTAGGGTTAAAAGTTCGAGTGATGTTCTGAAAACTTGTCAACTTTTTGCTAACGCGTTAAGAAGAAAATGTAATTATTTTTCATAGCTATAAGGATTGAAAGAAACTAAACATTTTAATAAGTTTATTTATAGTTATTATTACATTATAATAATACAACGATTCGCTATTAATTAAAATTTAGTTTTAAAAATTGCCATTAACTGTTCCATACTTTGAATAGTGACATTTCCAGCCACTCATGTACATAAGTGGTATCTTTAGTGTATGGTATGCAATACAACTTGTGCTGACTTTGCCTGCATAGTATTTTCCTTTTTACCCTTCCAGCTTCTCACACCACTTGCAGTTGCAGTGTGCGCTCCTCCGTTTCCGCAGACAATGCATTATCGTAACGTACAAATTTATTTACTTGGAATGCTTCATCCTCGTGATAATCCGTATCGACAACAAACACATCCACTACCTTATCGATAATATATTGTTCCTGTTGCAGTACATTTGTCAGCAAGAGTGGACTAATTTTAATAAGGCCTAAACGTGCCGGACAGACTGTGAGTGGAAATTCACGTTGTTCACCTTGTGCTAATTTACCAATCGAAAATTCAGCTGCACCGCTGTATTCGCAATCGAATTCAAGTTGTGTCTCTAATTTGACCATCAAATCCATTACGCGTTCAGCGGTATTTGTAATGCGACACACAAATGTAAAGGGTTCACCTATTTTTACAATATTTTGTGCGTCAATCACTTCAAGTCGCACATCTTTGTATTCGAAAGGCTGAAAGGGTATTATGAATATGAAAATACTTATCTATATGTTTATTAATATGTTAAAAATAGTTACCAAACGTTGAAGCTGGCTGGTCTGCAAGCGGCCCTTTTCGCCAAGATTCGAACGCCATACAATATCCAATTTGCCAACGGTATTTGCTTGCCTTAAGGCTTTAATATCTTTTGCAATTTCGGCTTTAGGCTAAACAATAAGTTAATTACGTTGTATAAATGTTTAAATACGTCTTCGTATGGAATAGTTGCTTATGACGAAAGGCTGGCTTCAGTATAATGCGGCATTCGCAGCATACGATTGCGAATGACTCTCTGGCGACGAGCCGTTGAAGAACTTTTGGCTAATAAACGTGCAGAAATAGCTCCGATTCTGGCAAGTCGATATTCTTCTTAAGGACCATCAAAGAATTCCTTGTCGTGTAAAGAATAAAGGGAATACCGCATTATACTAAAGCCAGCTTCCCGACATAAGCTACGAACACAGAAATATATGTACACATCATCGGTGATAGTGCAAAACAACTCTCAAAAAAATCTATAAAAATACCGAGTGCTAGTTCCGAATCAAAAATTTAGTTGCTTTTAAGTTAACTAATAAATCCAAGTTGCACTTCGAAATTAAAAAAAAAGAAGCAAGACGGATTTATGGCTGCGCTTATCCATAATCTTTCAACTACTTCTTCAACAAAAAGAAAACAAATTGTATTGCAGTATCAGCGCTGATATGCAACTTTTCCTACCTTAATACAGTACAGAAATTGGCAACTGTTATTAGGTTGCAGCATATTTTTTGATGAGAACACCGACTCGCCATTGGATAGTGTGTTTAGTGGGGTAACGGTGTAGTGTTCAGAGCTATCCAACTCGACTTTCTCCAAGCAAAAAGGTCCAGTGGTTATATTTTGTATTTGCGCTTCCAGATAGATCTCATCCATTTCTGCATTATAGAATTTAGTCTTTACATCAAGTGGTTTAAGTACTTGAAACTTAAAGAATTTGCGAAAGGATTGTGGAAACCCAGCAGGCGTGGTATAGTTCACTTCGCATACCAAGCTGTAAAAATATAGAATAAACAAATAAGAAAGTCTCTGCAATACATGTTGCATGTTCTCCTACATGTGTGTGCCAATCTCCTTTACTTCATAGCGTATCACATCGTCCAACGTTTGGTCTGGCGTAAGTGTGGTACTCGTCTGCTTTTCATTCATTGGCAGATTAATGCGCGTAGTATTGGATTGTAAATCAGCCTTTACCGTAACACCTTCAACCGAATAAGTAGTGCAGTTGTGCACGCAAATGTAGCTAGCAAATGTTTCACCTGCAGAAGATACATATTGATTTGTACGTATGTAACTGAAGAAAGGGGCAAAATATACCCATTCAGTTCAATTACCCAAATATATGGAACCGAACGACTGTGGCAACAGCATAAACTGTCCCGCTGCTAAAGTTTCCGCCCCCGCAACAGTTGTACTCTCATGCTCCAGCATGCGGCGACGAAATGTTTGTTGTGGCAAATCACGATTTTCGCAGGAAATCACTTGTGGGCCGATGAGTGTAGGCCTAGTGAGGCGCATCACTACAAGAACAATGGTTACTTTGTATTATACAGATATCTGGCTACTTACCTTTCAACGCCAACAAATGTTCACCCTGCTCCAGACTCATTGTAATCTCAATGTTTGCTTTTACACATTACAGATGGAAATGAAAATAAATTCTGCTATTTATTAACAACTTAAAATTGCAAACGTCAAAGACCAAACGCAAAATAAAGTCGGCAGTTGCCATATCATGAAAATTAAAATATTAAACAATCAAGACGATTTGGAGGATTTTTTCGCTTACACCAAAGATTGTGAATGTATGAGACAACACGTTATAATTGTAGCGAGTGTGAACATCAGGAGCATGCCTTCTCTTTCCATCCAATCAAAAAACGTATTTGGGTAAAACGTAGAGGGCGCGCTCCTGATGTTAACACTCGCTACAATTATAACGTGTTGTCTCTTTTTAGAGATTTACGTTCTTTGCTTACACTAAAAATGGATTTCTGAAAAATATTTAAGCTAATAGTAAATTACGAAAGCTTAATTCAAACCATAGTTTAATATTTTAGCCACTTATATTTAGTTATAGGCATTTTAAATTTAATTACGTCTTGTTCAATCTTTATCGTCAAGCTCTACTAATGGTAAGTCCAGAAAACGAGCTCTTTGGACCGGTTTGGACCAGAGGGACAGAGAGCTGAGTGAGATTGAACTGGCATGAGAAGAAGTGATTGTCGTCATGGGTCGGAGTCTCCACCAGCGGGACACCCATAGGGGATATCGGGCTCGAGTCTGCATAAGTAGCTCTTTAGGCGTCTACAATATCCTGACGATAAATGGGCCAGGCGACTTATCCCTCGTTCAGATCGGCGAACCCCTTCAATCGTTTATTGTTGTAATTTTATTCTGGCAACCCTAGCAGTAATCCGATAAGCATGTCGCATGTCCGATAAGAAGAAAACACAAAACAGCTGACTAGTGCGGTTTTCTTCTTCTGACATTTCTCTTCCATTCTGAACAGCATAAACAAACAAAAATATTTCATTTGTACAGCCACAATAGCATTGAACCGCGACCAGGACGAACACTTTTTATAAATTTTCGTCAAAATGGAAGGGAACGGCGATGAGGAGATCAGTAACCAAGATCCGCTTCCACTTGAACGTTCCGGAGCTGTGCGAGAAATTGGCAACCAAGCTGTTTGGAGTCTGTCGTCTTGCAAGCCAGGTATATATATACACATACTTATATATTCAGTTTACATGTGTAAGACTAAAAATTCTCTCCACAAGGATTTGGCGTTGAACGTCTGCGTGATAATATAATCGACACTTATTGGCAGTCTGATGGCCAACTACCGCATTTAGTCAATGTGCAGTTTCATCGCAAGACGCGAATTAGTGCAGTGTATTTATATGCCGATTACAAACTCGATGAGAGCTATACACCCTCACGCATTTCGCTAAGAACTGGCTCGAACTTCAATGACTTGCAGGAGTTACAAAATCATGAGCTTTTTGAGCCAACAGGTGGGTAATTGAAGATTTTCGGGGCCAAATTAAAGACTAACATATTTCACGCCAATTACATTTCAGGTTGGACTGCGATACAGGTAGAAAATGGGAAATCTAGACCCGTGCGCATATACATGTTGCAAATTGCAATTGTAGCAAATCATCAGAATGGACGCGACACACATTTGCGCCAGATACGCATACATGCTCCAGTCGAAAATTCAAAGGAGAAATTCACTTCCATTAGTTTTAAGAAATACGATACCATACGATAAGGGAGCTGGCGTAATAAAATATGTGTGAACTCGTCGGGGATGTGGGGAAGACTCAAATGATAAATCTTACAATATTTTATATATTAGCATACAATAAAAACTTACCGCTAAATAGTACTTAAGCAAACATCAATATTCTTTTGATTTGCGCGTGTTGCAAGCACCTTGCATTTGGCTTATATCGCCGCGGCCACTTTCACTAGCTGCTGCTTGTATTTTTTAAACTCCATAACTCAGTTTTTGTATACACTACAAAACACAGAACTAAAACTTAAACAATCTGAATTTGTTTATATTTCACTATAGTAAATACAATTAATTGGTCCAATTATGTTAACACTCTCGCGATTTGTACATACGCGAAAAACATTTTCAAGCGCGTTATTCAAATTAGACACAGGGTGGTGCTAAAACCACGAATAAGCGGGAATATAAAACGTCAAAAATGGGTCGAAGCAGAATCAGCTGATTATCTTATGTACGCCGGTAAGCAAATGCACAGTTTTATATATATTTTGAGCGTGCAAAAAACATAATAAATATTGTGTAACCATAACAAGAATCCGGTCCTTTTAATAGTAAGTACAAAATTTTAAATTGTAAAAAATGTGGCCCATTATCATGGCGGTACTGCGCCGCAATGCTGTCTACATAACGCTACCTATTGCTGCAGTTGTGGGTTTCATTGGTTACAATCTCGAGCGAAAGCTCTCGGACAGATACACGCCATACAGCAGTAAGTACATATTAAAAAAAAAGTTGAACCTAGTTTTATAAAATTATATTTATTTTAGAATCTATACAAGAGTGCCGCGCTGAACGCTTGGCCGAGGAAGAGTTGACCGACCCAACAGGCGTGGAAAAGTTGCGGTTAAATACGAATGTTCTGGAAAGAAATCTATCCCCATCTTTGCAGCCAAAGACGTGAACTACCAGCAAGATATTAAATATCTTCTGAAATTAGACAGGCTAATAAAAAAGTTGAAGCCAACTGATGTTTTGTGTCTGTTGAAAGCATGATTTTAATTTACATTTTAAATTATATATTATGTAAGGATCTTAATAGGATGAATGTTATTCTTTTTATATTAAAATCGCAATTTAAAGAAAATATAAACACTTGTTTGTGAAAAGCTTTTAAATGCATTAAATGTTCATTGCTCTATGGGAATAACTGACCGCTAGTAGCACATCAAAAAATTTCTTGGAAATTAAGGTTTCGACACAGCTATAAATTCGAACTTGAAATATATATTCCGTAACAGAAAAAGTTGACTTAGACGTGCATACATATGTAAATACATATGTATGTACCCAGCAAACACAGTCTCTAACGTTAGAGAAATTTGGATTTCTACATTAGATAACTAGGGTAATTCTCTAATCGTTCTCGAGCCGATGTCAAAATTAGAGAATTACATTAGAATTCGATTCGAGAACGATTAGAGAAACAGCGCGAATTCAAATAAATGTAAATAAACAATATTCCAAATGAATTACTCATAAATTATTTTTAAGTTCAAATAATTCATTATTATTTTATTGCAAATACATTTAATACAAATTTTACAAACAAAGCAAGGCAAAACAGCAGTTTGAAATTCACATTCGAATCCCATTAGAGATCAACATTGGAATACGATTAGAGAATTAATATTTTCTCGAGTCGAGAACTATGTCCCATTTTTGTTGAGATCGCTATGATTCTCGATACTTTTCCGAGTCGTTCTCTAACGTTTGAGATTGGAGGATGTGGCTAGTTCTCCAATCAGTCTCTAATCGATAACTAACCTCAATGTTTGCTGGGTAGTTAAAGTCCTGTCTATTAATAAGAACATCCCTTGCGGGGATCGAACCCGCGACCTTTGGATTAGAAGTCCAACGCGCTATCCACTGCGCCAAAGGGACGAATGGTGGCGCGTAGCTATTTAACCCGCACAGCTGTGTTTTATGCAGAGATTATCCTGCAAAATAACATGATCGGAAACAAAATTCACATTTAAAAAATTTGTACATGTAATTGGTGTTTGCAATGTCTTTTGAATAAAGATTAAATAAAGTTAAAAAAAAATACACCCATGAAGATGACATCCCTTGCGGGGATCGAACCCGCGACCTTTGGATTAGAAGTCCAACGCGCTATCCTCTGCGCCAAAGGGACAAGTGGTCGGTAGTTGCAAAATGACTTATTCGAAACTGCTGACGTGCCATCGCAGGGTGTTTCATAGCACAATTTTTAAAGGCAGGGTGTGTTCGCGAAGCATAAAAAACAATAAAAATAAAAGTTGAAGTTTTGGAGATTTTCTTGTAGAAGTAAATTTATTTGGATTTTAGGATTGATTAATAGGAAGGATAATTTTAATCCGAAAATTGTATAAGAAAACATATTTCTTTTTCTTGAAAAATGTGGGAACTAGATTGTTGTAAATTGGAACAAATAAATATTAAATTAAATATATCGTGTGCATACAAAAAATTTTAAAAATCTATATTTGGAAAAAGTATTCGTTAAGTGATATTACAACGAAATTATAGTAAGAAAACCATCATACGTCTCACAGACATTGATATATTCTCAGCAACGTTCATTAACGTTATCAAATGAGGGTTAGAGTTTTAAAAACTAGTTAGCTCGTTGATACAATGAAATATGACTTTCCAGGTTATAAAAAAAAATCAATTTGTAATCTAATATTAAAAGAAAATAAATTTGTAGACGTTAGTATTAAATATTGTATAACTTTACAAAATGGCACTTTCAATAAAATTATCTAATTATAAAACATCCCAGAAGATAATTTAGGTAGGCCTTCTTAAGTAGTCATTCTAAGAGGCCTACCCTCGAAGGGCTGAAAAAAGTTCTTTCTTTGCATGCCTTCTAGAAGAGCTTATCCATTTGCAATTTACGCGAATGCATACATTTATATTATTTAGCATTAAAAATGAGTTTGAATAAACATTTTAAGTTGCAATAACACATATTTCGCTATAAACCTTAAGCAAATGCTTCAAGATGTATGGTTTTTATAAATTAAAGAAGCAATTTGAAAAGAACTCCTTCAAAAGGCCTTCTGAAGTACGTCCTATAAAAGCACAAACAATGCAATGGAAGGCCTTCCATGGGTAGCGCACGATGAAGCCCTTCAATTTGTGCCACTCCATTCAAAAAAGAAAGGAGAAACGAATAACTCTTAGGAACGCCTTTCGGAAGGACTTTTTAACTACTGAAATTATCCCCTGGGATTTCTGGCTGCGGACCCTGGAACCAGTTAGCGGCAAATTACGAATCGCTATCGCACTTTTTGACGCAAAAACATTCATATCATGCGTCAAAAATTGCGATAGCAATACGAAATCGTCGCTAACTGGTTACAGAATCTCTCTCCTGATCAGTTTTATATTTTATGAATTGTGGCATTAACGAAATTTTTTATTCCAGTTAGAAATAGAATAATCAGGTAAATAAGCCTTCACTTTTGTGGCCCACCATGTAATAGACGTCCTTGATTTCGGCATTGTTTATCATATTCTAACCCAAGCATCATAAACGCGCGCGCGCACACACACACACACACTTTTTGGCAGCTCTGTTCTTATACAGCTATAGGCGCCCAGTTAGCATAGCCTCGGTGGCGCAGTAGGCAGCGCGTAAGTCTCATAATCTTAAGGTCGTGAGTTCGAGCCTCACCCGGGGCATAATTTTTTTACACGTTTTTTTTATACAGAAAAATAAATGTTATAGACAAATAAATTTCAATTACATTTGCATTGTCTTTTAAAAGTTTTGCAACTTTACATTTCATTACTTCACTTTAGTTAAATTAGTTACACCTAGCGAAACAAAAAATCCACACTCGATCTAATTTGCAAACTCTATTATTTAAGCAAATCATATTTTTTGAACCAGGAAGATTAATAGCAATTTTTATGTAGATTTATATGCTCGTTTATGTGCAAGATATATTTACAAAAATATATCTGTACATACGAAAATTGCTTGAACAAATATTTTGTAAAAGACGAGATAAGAAATAAGAATCTGAAAGTATTCAATGCGGGTCGCGATGCAAAGGCCGCCGCTGCGATGGTTAGACTAGGTGGAGAAGAAAATTCGGCTTCATTTGGAATTTCCAATTGGCTCCAGTTGGCACAGACTACCTTAAAGAAGCTGAAGGAAAATATTAAGTGCTCGAAAATATTTTCTTTTGTATCCAATTTTTACATTCAATTTATCAAGGTCAAATTATAAGCAGGTGAAGTAATAAAACAGCTTTCTCGCTTTTCTTTATTGACACTTGGCTATCTTATAAAAATTTTTAAGAGTAAACTTTCAAATAAGATGGTGTCAAATCTTTCTTTTCGGTCTTGTTACTTCCCCTTTTATAATTTCGATCAATATTGTCTTTTTGAGCATTTTTATTCATTGAGCTTTTTTTAATAAGTTAATTAATATTTTTATTTCCACCTTTGTTTTAATGAAATTATAGTCACCTTTTGAGAGGTTGGAAGCACGCTTACTGTACTAAATCTACAACAAGGCCGACAAAATTAAGTGAACATATTTTACCAGAAACCAGAGTAGGCGAAGTCGGGGCATTCTTGGACACACTTTTATTTTAGTCGATAACTCGCAAAAAAAACTTACTTTTTCCAAACATTTTATAGCTTGGTTTTGTAGTACGAGAAATAACCTTCCTTTTGCTATCAGCAGTTTGATCAAATTGTATTGTATTGCATGTTATTTCAGTTAGCACAAAAATTGTGTTTTTGCACTTTTGAAAAATTACGAGGAATTATTAAAAATTAAAATTATTGGCGGAAAACATTTATTTGTGAACGAAAACGAAAGAAGACATCATAGTTAATAGAATAAAGTGAAATATGACGATTAAAATTATTCCGATTCGCAGTGAGCACCCGGGTTTGCTCCGGCGCAACTCAAGTGAACACCTCGATCACAAACAATACGATTTCCGGATATTGCCGAAAGAGGCATTCTGGCTACACCAAAATTTATCGATCCAAAAACCTATTAAAAACTGCCGAAAAACTAATGCTGTGTGGAAATTATGCAAGAAAAAGCCCTCAAATGTCAAGAAATAAGTGTCCAATAATTTTTGCAAAACGGCGGCGTATAAGGAGGTAATGCAATACAATCTTCATACAAAATTTTTTCTGCGTCGGAGGCCTAAGCTTCCACGAGCATTATAAATATATTTAACTGAGTTGGTTCGGCGGTAAACCTTATCAAAATAAACAAAATACTAAGTGAAAAAACTCGATATATCAAATTTATATTTGCTATGGCAGCGAAATAACGGTGCGTATACAAACGTCAAGTGCTCAATGGAAAATGAGCTCAGCATGAAACGAGTTGATGACAAATGGTTGAAACTGTTAAGCATTATAAGGGGGAAAATATCTTGCTCTCAAACAATACCCCGTGTCCAAGAATTCCCCGAATTTCCCTACACTTTTTTCAAGGGTTGATGTTGAGGATATTTTAAGCGAAAAGTACAAATACGAGTTCAATATCTCGACGCAAAATTCAAAAATCTCTGCAATATCCAGTCCGTTACAACAATCCTAGCAGATTTTCAAATCTCCGTGAACAATAAATTATATGCGAAATACATATGCGGAATTTTTTGTTTCGCTAAGTGTAGTTATAGTTATTTCCCTTCATTCTTGCTCGCAAATACAGTTTAGTTTATTCTAACATTTCTCTCCACGTACATTCTCAATTTTCGACTAAAATTATATACTCGACAAATATTGAAACTTAAATCTATTGAGAAATATTCAGCTCACATGTGTATGTAATACCAATACCGATTGTATTCTTAAAATTTATGTAAAAATTCAATTTTTCGCTTTTTCCAGTGCAATTGCATTCATTATTTTAACGGGCGCTCATGCATTCTCACTTGCCCATGCGTTGTATGGACCACTCCTGCTGGCAAAGTGGACAGCGATTATTTTGTTTCACCCAAAGCGACATGCAGCAATGGTGAAATGAATGATTGCATTCGCCCCAAACGACCACACAATCCTGACGGCCGAGTACTTCGCGTTTATTTTCCGCCTGACAACGTAGACAAGCGTCTGAAAAGAGTAGCGAATGATGAATGAAAATTAGATAAATAGTGCATAAGTTGTTAGAAAAAATAAAAAATTATTAAATTTAGTAAGACGGAAATTGCATAAATGCACCATTCAAATATCCACACATACATACATAAAGATGTGTGTATCTACAAATTTCAAAAGCATATTTGTTGTCAACACTCTAATAGAGATGATAATAACAATGATAATGTATTCACATGCAAATTAATATATTCTCAGTGCACCACTAATTGTCACACAATGCAACGGCCACAACATGAGCAAACACTTGAGCAGCGGCTGGAACACCACAGTGTCCAGTGTGCCAGTGGCATCCAATCGGCGCTGCTCACCTTACCGTCAGCTGCACCAACCAGCAAGAAGCCGTTTGTTGTAAGTGGCAAGTGCGCCACTGACGACATTGAACTTCAATTAGAAATGTTTTGCATGTGCCGCACAATTCCCACTAAATCGCATACACACAGATATACACACACTAGGGTGGGTGGGTCATTTTTGTATTTACTAAATCGTATTGTACTTTCTGGTTCTGCAGATAATTATAAGAGAAATTGTAGGAGAAACCATGGGTCGGAAATAAGTTTCGAGCCTGCGCCTTTTTAAATGAAAAAAATCACATATTCACGATATTAAATTGATTCCCCTTTTTTGTACGAAAGTTTGTTGATTTTTTTTAGTATTGCACGAAGATTGAAACTTGGATTTATACGATTTTTGTTAAAGAGGATAGTTTACTGCTTTCAAAAAAAAATCAAAATTATATAAAAAAATATATATATTCATAATTTTGACACGGGGTTTATTTTTGCATGGTAAATATGGTTAATCAACTAGAAATATTATAAAGTAAAATATGTATAGTTATTTTGTATCCATTAGTTGTTGCAACAAAGGGTGAAAACTTTGCAAAATGGGCATAGAACAAAAAAAAAAAATAAAAATTTAGAAAAAGTATATTTTTTAAATGCCCAGGCTAGAAACTCATTTTCGACTTATAGTTTCTGCTGCATTTTTTGTTAGAATTCTCTATGGAAACCGAAAATACTATGCAATTTGCCGAAAACAGAGACTAGAGTGAATATTAATTATTTCATGGTGCAGTTTTAAAAAAGTCATATAAATATTCGTGAGAATTATAAAAGTCTTTTGATATCAATTATGTGTGAGAAACTTTTTTTAAGTCATCGATAACTATTATTTTAAGACTTATATAATAAAAGTATTTTTTGATAATAATTATCAGCGAGCTATATATTTTCAAGTCTTCAAGAACTTTTATTTTGAGACTTATAGCCTAATCTGTATCGGTGACAAAAATTATTTTACTGACAAATTTAAACTTTTACATATATTTTGCCGTAATAAAAACTGTGAAAAGACTTTGTTAGTGATACAGAAAAGAGCCGTTACATTATAAAAAAATTGTCACAATCATTATTATTGAGATAAATATTTTTAATTCTTCAAAGACTTTTATTTTGAGACTTATATTAAACATTGCTATTCATAATAATTATAAGTGCGAAAAATTTTTTAAGTCTTATAATTATTGTGAAAGCACTTTATATTTTATAAGGGTTTGAATAATAGTTACAGATGACTCGTAAAATGTTTATCTTAATATAATAATTTTGTTTTCTCTGGCCAAAAAAACTGTTGTCCGCCAATTTGACCCATCCTACCATACACATACATATGTATGTATGTAAGCGCTCGGCCGCCCACTTTTCTTCCATTGTTGCTTTTGTATGCCGTTGATTTCACAATTTCTTCGTTTTGTAAGAAATTGAAGAGTGCCAATAATGAAAGCATTCATATCTTCTTTAGCGCATGTTTGTCTATTGACACAAGTACAACAAAACGCTATGAGTTGATAATTAGAATGAATGTGATGTCGTTTCCCTGCTGCGCACATTTGAGTTCACATGTGACGCAAATGTGGAAAGGTTTTTGCAATATACAAATGATTAATGGAAAAAATCCTTCTTTTTTGCAAAACAAAAAAATATACACACAAACATATGTGCATACATACATATACATATGTATACCACGATCGAAAATGGTTAATTTACATTTTATTTTTGGGACAATAACTTTAACCCAAACTTTGGTCCGATCAATCACACGACTCAACACGATTTTGGATGTCCTTGCCACAGATTGATACCGTTAAATAGACCATAGAATTTACGTTCATTCCAAAGACTGATATCTGTGGGGACGTATGCATATGTAGAGATTATACTCATTTTCGAGGTTAACTCCCTAATATGTAGTAAAGTCTCAGTTATATTTTAACCTCGTTTTTCTCAAAATCTGGTGCTGATGGCAACTTTATACTTACGGATTCGTAATGAGCACAACAGTCTATCAAAGACAGCTTTAACATTTGTCGCACAAAACAAAAATCTATGATGATGTTGTTTTAAGCTAAACGAGAAAAATGTATGTACCATGCCTACTGCTGCACCGAAACGCCGAAATCTCGAGAGGAGCTGGGGTTTTAAATTTTACGGATTTTTGTTAGTGAAATAAAAAGGAATCATTCCTAACAGTCCGATTTTGGATCCATTTTTGTCGAACTTTTTCTCGGTTCAGGCACAGCGTGCAATGGAATCATTTTTGTTTTTTTCATGCACTGTGTGACAAGTGGCAGCGTCCTGTTGAAACCACATTTTGTCCATTTCCATGCCATCTGATTCAGGCCATAAACCATGTCACGATGATGTCCTTTCACCATAACAGCGTTACTGGCATCATTTTTTTTAAAGCGGTATCAACGTTTGGATCACTTTTACGCGTTGTTCAACTGAGTGTCGCTGCATGACTACCGTTTTCCAAAGCCTTTAGTACCAAGTGTCTGAAAAAAATAAACAAACACATCACAAATAATTGTTGTCAAAGACCTGCATCACCTTTGTGTATCAAACCTATATATGTGTATGTACATACATATGTATGTAAAACATTTAAAAAAGTTGGACGGTTCAGGATCTTGGTCTTGCATCATTGCGTTTGCAAACTTCTGTAGAATTTTTTGCAAAACAACAACAAAATATGCAACTATACATTGCAGCTATGTATTGCAAATATGCAATTCCAAGAAATATGTTTGCAACCCTAATTCAAATCAACGGCTGAAATTATCAGAACAAATAAACACAAACAAGATGAATCGTTATGCAGGCGGTCAAATGATCCCTATTCACGCCACTTTTACTCTTTCCTCTATCTTTACTTTCTTTGACCGAAGGCTGTTACGTATTTGGGTCAAATGTCCACCGTCTCCGTTGTATTCATTTGGTAGCTTTTTTCAATACTATTTTTGTGCCTAATGTCATTGATGATATGGAATTAAGAAAAGAAAAAAGTTCTAGTTTCGATTAATCTATTTTCAAATACAATGCTGTGTTTTGCCAATAGAAACAATCATATGTATGTTACCGCATAACTTTGGACCACGTCAACAGATTTCGATAATTCTGTTTCTATCGCAAAGGTGGTGCCTCAAGGGCGGTCCCATACTGATTCATGAAGAAATTAACGGTACTCCTAAATTTTTATATGAGAATTGACGTCGGTTATGTTTTTTGCTTAAAAATTACTTGTGGAATATACATATGTAGGCTCCAATAATATAATAATTTGGCGCAATTTTCATTAAAATCTTACGTTATGGTATTCGAACTAGGACTGCGACGTCGACCTCATAATATCGATGTTTCAAGCATCAAGCGAAGATTTGCGCCATACATATATGTATGTATGTATCTGTGTGCGCAGCTAATGATAAATATAATAATGAGAGGATCATAATTCTAAATGGTAACCAGACAGCGTTGGCGGCTCTCTTATATCATAGGGAGACGGCAACGTTGTGCCGGATTAACGGCGCGGTTGATCCGATCAAAAATGTACCCTGACAGACGGCAGTATTGTTTTTTACATAATAATACTATAGAATATTGTTCAACAATTCGGAAATCCGATTTTTATCAAAATATATAGAATATTCGTTTAATAACATTTCTTTTCGTGGTGCAACGGAAATGTTGGGGCTGAAACAAGTGCTTCTTGAGTGTGTGCACATGGTACGAATTTAACAAAAACTTGCGAATAAAAGGTTAAAGAATAATAATAATAATAGATTGGCGCTTACACATATGTTAGGGTTTGGCCGAGTTTCTCCTCCGTCTTGTGGTGTGCGCCTTGATGTTGTCTCACAGTTTTACGCCGACTCCGAACGGCGATTGTATTTTTATGAGAAGCTGTTTTTTATGGCAGAAATACACTCGGAGGTTTGCCATTGCCTGCCGAGGGACGGCCGCTGTTAAGGAAAAAACCTTTTTTCTATATTTTTGCGATGTTGCTTTGCCCACGGTTAGAACCCAGGTGCTGCGGAGTGGAAGCGCGCAATGCTTACCACTACACCACAGCGGCTGACGAAGGTTAAAGTACAACACTTAGAAAAAGGCCAATACAAGTATGAAAGTAAAGGGAAGTACGCAGATAGATAAAGAAAGGGGTAAAGGCAACGCAAAAATAAAAACAAAAAAAAGATGCGTAAAGATAAAGGCAAAAATTAAGATCAATGTTAATTTAAGCACTTTACTTAAGTGAAGGGGGAATATGTAGATGAAGAAAAGTATAAACACCAAAGTAAAAACAAAGATAAATATAAAGAAAAAGATGAGAATGAGGATTCCGATCCTCAACCTATCGATATAATAATCGATATTTTTATCGATTTTGTTATCGATATTTTTATCGATATTGTTATTGGTTTTGTTATCGACATTGTTTTGGATTTTATTATCGATATTTTTATCGAAGTTGTAATCGATATTTTTATCGATTTTGTTATCGATATTTTTATCGAATTTGTTATCGATTTTGCCACCTTATCGATTTAAATAGAAAAAATACAAAAAATATAACCTTAAGCAAAAGCAGATGTATGTATGTATGTATGT